GGTCCAAGGCTTCTTGGAGAAGCCTCAAGCAAAGGGACCAAGCTTCTAAAAGAAGCTAAACCAAAAGGGTCAAGCTTCTTGAGGAAGCTAGACCAAAGGGGTCAAGCTTCCTCAAGAAGCTTGAAAAAAGGTCAAGCTTCTCTTAGAAGCTAAGCAAAAAGGGCCAAAGCTTCCTTAAGAAGACAAACAAAATGGTTAAATCTCGGAGGATGGGGCAAATGCCTCCCAGCTGGCACAGCTGTATGCAACTCAGGAAGGCCAAAAAGGAGACAGCTGGCCGACCAGTTCAAGTGGTCGGCCGACCACTTCCCCTGGTCGGCCGACCAGGGGTCAAAAGGATCAACAAGAAAAGGTGGTCGGCCATGCCAAAAAGGCAGCCTCCCAGGTGAATGCAACACAGTGGTGGTATGGGAGACTAGAAAATGTGGCTCAAAAGTGAGGGAAACCAAGGGGTCAAAAGGGTCAAGCACCAAAGGTGGTCGGCTATACCAAATAGGTGGCCTCCCAGATGAATGCAACACAATGGTGGTATGGGAGACCAGAAAATATGGCCCAAAAGTGAGGGAGACCACCTCTCTAACAAGAAAATCGGGCGGCAAAAAGAAAAGTGGTCTCCAAGAAGAAAAGGTGGTCTCCCACCATACTACCACCATTCTAACAATGAAACTAGGGTCCATGCCAAAAATGAACCCTGACCGATGCAAAACGAGGGTTTAGGGGCCAAAACGCGTAGCCGGGGGCCCCGAAAACTGACTGCTAAGTGCCGGAAGTGGCGTGCGACCCCAAAAGTGGTCTCCCAGGCCACAGTGTCCCTCTAGGGAGAGGAAACAAGGTGTGTACCAAAAACCGGAGCAAACGGGGGTAGTTAAGCAGTCCCGAATCGAGGCGCGCGGCCGACGGCTCCGAAAACTAGAAACTGGTCTCCAAACGGGAAAAGTGGTCTACGACCACGAAACGTAGCCTACGGCCACTGAGAGATGGTCTACGAGACCTCTCCCTCCCTTTGGGAAGAGAAAAACAGAGAAAATAGGACCTGGTTTACAAACCGAGTCAAAGCACAAAAGAGCCCCGAAGTCCGAAGGCAAGACTCTCAGCCGAGACTCTGCAACCTCAGAACAAGCACAATATGCGTCATCACCGAGCGCTCAATCGGTGACGCCTGAGTCTTAAGATCGGTCAAAAATGGGGTGTCTACAGGTTCCTTAAGCTAGACCTCGCCTCTTTAGCTCGGTCCAGGCTTGCTGCAGATTAGCCCGGTGTAAACAGGTGAAAATCGAGGTACAAGTAAAACATGAACCGAGATACATGTTGCATATAAAGGCGCCGGGATAAGTATTTAAGAGATAGCGTTAGCTCGGTCATACTGTCATCCAACCGTGGTAAAACCATCTCACTTGGTTTAAGCTGTGAGAGGGGTGTTGAAGGATAAGCATTATCTTTCAGGAGTGTGATTCCTAGGAGGACTCTACATGGAGGAATAAGAGTCCTACTAGGATTGTGCTATGCGAAACTTATAAAAGCTCACAACATCACCTATGAAGAGGTAACACAACTTTGATTCTCGAATATACAGAGTTTTTGTCCATTTGTCTATTTTGCTGACTTAGGCATCGGAGAGGTATCCGGCACACACCCGCCAGCTAGCTCACGTTTGTGTTTTCAGAGAGTAAAGCGACGACATTAGGAGGAGCGCAGACTTGATCAACAGGATTATACGAGAACATTATTTCGTGCTCGTACACTATTCAAAGTAAATTTCGAGGTAACAGAAATAAGAACCATTTCTCAACACATTAGTTTGAGAAAAAGTATGAAATTATGACCAAAGGCATACACAACAGTTGTTTTCTAAGAAAACACAAGCCATTACCAAAAAGGAAAACACAAGCCTTTACCAAAAAGGCGTTAAACGCCGCATGCCCTTTCACAAATGACCCTATTCTTAAGAATTTTAATCATTTTGAAGCAAAACATTTCTTAACATTCAACCCTTCGAAAGATAAATAAACTCATTCTAAATTCAGAGAACAATCTGAAGTACAGCTAAGACAAGTAGGAATGAAGTAATATTTGTCCATTGCATGCATGTGACTGTTACACCAAAGAAATTTCAATTCCCTAATCCATAACACATTTATATATCCTCAGATGTTGACAAAACCTAGCTGTCACACACAAGCACACAGAGGTCACCACATTGACTCACTGATGTACAAATTCATAAATATTAATGCTATGACATCTACTTACAATGCTCTCGGTGATGCAGAGGAAATGTCTACTTGTAGATAATAAAATTTAAAAAAAAAAAATCCCACAAATTACTCCAATCTGTAAAAACAACCCAATAAAGATTTCTCTACTAGTGAAAACTGGTTTAATTGTATATCTTCTCCATTCAACACAGTAAAAGGAAATGCTTCCTAAATCAAAAAGAATAACCAAAGATTGAAAGAATCACATCATCCAGTGTAATTTAAACTAACATTAACAGAAAACAACAAATTCTATGCCAAAATTGTATTTCTACATATATATGTGTGGAAATTTATAAAAAAAGAAAAAAAGAAAAAAAGATTACATTTCATGGCTCCCTTACAGGATGGAAGTGGGCCTCCGCAGAGGCTACTCGAAGAATGTTATGGGTCTCCTTCTAGCATCTTTTATTGTCTCACAACTCATTGTTGCACGACAAACGACAGTTTTTTCTAGCTTGACTTATTTACAGCTATCTTGTGACTTGACTACCCTATATTTAAAACCATCAAGTTTGGCCAACTCTAAAATGAGTCTTGATAGGCACATGTTAAGTACGCTTTAAAATATTGTATATTTTTTTATTGTGCTTACGTTCATGCAGAATATGCACACGCTAACAAAATCCCTCTAAAATTATCACCTGCAATTCAATCCAGATTTTGACAGCACAATACCAGAAAAATAATGGATTTTGACAGTCAAACCTCATTCTAATGCTCAATAACCCAAGCCCTACTGCTGCATTAAACAACTGCCCTACTTTATCATAAACCCCAATCTTATACTTCACATTCTTTCTTAATATAATCATTGCAGCATGAAATTGACTCCCAATAAGGAATCAACAAAGCATAGCGAGCACTTTGACTATCCCCACATATAGGAAAGATATCAGCTGTCCTGCACTACAATTTCAAATAAATGAATATATGTAACTTGAAGGTGGTGTTAGCACAACCTCTGCCTTTTTCTCTTCATTCTACAAACACCACCGAGGAAAAAAGGGCATTCTTCTGAGCTGGTTCAATCCAGAGTGTTAAATGAGTGAACTAGAAACAAATCTAACCACTGATTTTCAGATGAAAAGCATATGTTATACACAATACATACAGTGGAAAAGGTGGCTGCAACCTAACAGTGCAGATCCTTAAGATTTGGATGGGCATAAAGAATCTTCCAAATCAATCTCACCCTCAATTTGAACATAATACCCCTGTTTCTCTAAGAAACAGTCGCTGAAGTTTAATTTTTTCTTTTTCTTTTTCTTTTTATCGGCATTGTTCAAGTTTCGTTGTAGAACCACAATGCAGGAAACTTTTGTTTCGCAATATAAAACATAAATAACCATAAAATAACTTATCAAAGAGGTAAATATCAGACCAAAGTTTTACTAAATCCAGATCCTCTTTTCGTTCAATTAAACCATCATAGAATTCCTTAAGTTATTTAAATTAAATTAAACTAATAATTTATGAAAAGAATATGCAAAAATTAAATTAAACTAATAACACCCCAGTCATGTACGCTTTTCCAGTGCATAGCTCACTATGCAATGGGAATAGCTCAAGCATAGTGTGAGAAGATAATACTGTAGGAATAATAATCAGTATAGCTTTTATGTAGTGGTAAATCTTCACTTTTTCTTTTATAACATGTTTACATCTCGAGTCTCACGCAACTACATCGGTTTAAACTGTAAAAGTGAGGGATAACAGCTTTAAATGAGACAAATCAAATTGGGATTTGGTAGTCATTTCAACTGGAATAAGCTAATACAAGTAACTCTTCTTTATTTTCATTTTTAAGTTCATGTAGAACAACCAATGCAGAATATGACCCAATACAGGATAGTCACAATCATGTTATACAATTTAGCATTTGAATCTGAATTTATATATATAAAAATAATATCAAACCTCATTGTATAGCAGTTCATACATAAACAAATAGATCTTCGCAGTCACTTTTATTATTCCAATTTTGTAATTAAGAGCTTGTTTTAAGCACAGAATGCCCATCCTAAGTAAGACAACTATGATTGAGTTGAATGGTACAAAAACTGACCAGACAGGTTTTGGGCAACTCAATGACAGGGCAACTCAATGACATACTGGCCACTGTGATTTGTAGATGCACAAATTGTGTTCCAATTCCTAACCCTATCTGCACAACTCAAGCTTCCCAAAATTTTACAAAATAGCAGAAATAAGAGACAAAATCTGGCAGACTTGGCTGATAATTTTGTGAATTCCACCAAAGTATCAACCTAAATTATAGCCTTTCCTAAATGTCATGAAATGGTATTGCTTTTGAGCAAGACTTGCCAATATTCTGAAACCTGACTCCATATTTTCATGAATTGTGTATTTTTAGGTAGTGAATGTCAGATGCAAGTTGCAACAATGGGAATAGAACATTAGTTACAACACTAAACTATGGCTTGGAGGACGTGATCAATGTTTTCTATTCTCACTTCTTTAGAGGATGTGATCAATGTTTTTGGCAATCATTTCAAGTTATCACTCCATGGTTGGCACATGGAATGAATTGGTAGACACATCATGGTAGTGGTCATGAAAGCCATTTCATGGGGAAAGTAGAGCCAGAGAAACTACTTTAACCTTATTATCCATGTGAAGCTTAAACTTACTGACACTATCCCATAAACCAGTAGGATCTGATACCACCGTGTCAGCCTAACCATTTGAGCATCATCATAATAAGCATCAGCAAGGGAGATAAGCAAATCTTTTAATCTGTCAAATGCAATCCAAGCCACAAACTGAATACACAAAAAATCATTGAATGTTTGCCTTTTCAAGAAATGATGGCTAGAATCTTCGCAAGCAAATGCAATGAAGAAAAAGGTGGGTTACACACTCAATATTATATTTTATCAAAAACTCATCTTAATCAGGTCTGTCTTGATGATTCAAAAACTGAAATGTTATAGGATGGTACCATAAGCTGATCCCACTATACCTGGCCACACTATTAGCAGAACAAATTTAGCAAAACTCAATCTAAACCAAGGCAACAAAGTAAAGAAAAAAAATGCCGCAACAAAGTAAAGAAAAAAAATGCCTCAACTAAGATATGGAACTATAAACCTACAGGAGACAAACAAAATATTAAATGTAACAATCACCAAAACATGCAAATATGCTCTGCAAAACCTAGCTTCTTCAATTTTTTTGGTTTTAAAATCAAATCCCAGAAGTCCACGCATTAATACACAATAAAGATTCAGCATACCTGAAAACCAACTAATAAACAAAAGGGATGAACTTGTACCGAACTTTGTTCATGTATTCCGTGTATGCCACCCCAAAAGTTTCTACCATCAAAGCCTCCTCCAACCTTGCCTTCTGCTCATAATACATCAAACAGACCGCAACAACAAATAGTAAGCTCAAAGGTGCTCGTAGGGCAACACAGTAAGTTACAAACAGAAGCATTGTAGATGCATATATCGGATGGCGAACCCATCTATATGGCCCAAACTGCACAACTGCTGTCGGTACAACCACTTTCTCCGAATACTTTGCAAGATACAATGTAGAATGATATTGTGTGAACAGAGTTAACAATATCAAAACCCAAACCCACAAATTGTTCCACCCACCGGGGATAAGGTGAAGCTCTGGCCCTTCAAATGCCGCAAGCCAATGACCAACCATGATTCCAGCACAAAACAGAAGGCGATACCAATTGGGGAGGCTAATATCCCACTTGGGATCATGCTCACGAGGGTAGTAATCGCCATACATTCGCTTTCGAACACTCACATTGAAGAAGAAGAAATAGTGGTACACCAAAAAGAACACAAAAGGCCATCCTTCAAGGAAGCCATTGAAATGGGCAGGTGGAACAAGAGTCAGCCAAGTAAAAGCCGAAGTAACAATTGCCAATTGCTCAAATACATTGGCTTCACCGTGCAAATGCTTGCGAAGGCAATAGAGGCCGTAAATTGCAACACCCAATGCCACAAACCATGGCCAGAACAGCCAAGCCCAGCTGAAATACATCCAGAAGAAAGGGTTTAGCAGTAAATTCACAGTCCATTTCGTCACCGCAATTGATACAGACAAGACCAAAGACCATTTACAGACCTCAATAGGGGTTAACCGAGAAAGACTAGCTTTCAATGAATCGAACGAGAGGCTTTTGAGATTTTTCAAGAATGGTTTTTTGGGCTCTGAGCTTGTTGTGTTTGAATATGAGCAATTGATTGGTTGAGGATAATGGGTTTTCCTTGGAGTCACTGATGATGACAATGGATGTGAGTAAGAGCACTTCAAGTTCAAAGGGGTTCGAATGGAAGTGAGATTATTGTTGAGTGATACTTTGCTCTGCAAGTGTTTGTGAAAATGTCTGAGAGAAAGTCTGTTAGTGGTTGAGAGAGTAAAACCAAGAGGAGTTGCTTTGAAGTAGCTGACTACAGAGGCTGTTTCCATGATCGTATGCGAAGTGAAAGCAGTGAGAATTCTACTACGTGAAAGCGATCTGATCAGGACATTGTTCGAGAGAGAGAGAGAGAGAGAGAGTGGTGGTTTGAGTTTGAGATTGAGAAGATGAGGAGGGAGATACTGGAACTCTGGGGGCCCAATTTTATTCTGGCTTTTTGTATTGGTCCTATTTGAAGTGGGCCCAAACTAGAAAATGTGCGTGTCATTGCCAAGGGCCTTTGGTCAGAATCCATACCACAAAGGCCTATTTTGGCAACACAACATAAGTCAAAAAAAAAGTCACTATAATTTTTATTTATTTTTTTTTTTTTTTGGTCACGTTTTTTTTTTTTTTTTAAAAATTAAAAATTTAATTTTTAAAAAAAAAATTTAAATCGCAAAACAATCCAAAAGATGGTAAAAGAAAAAACAAGCCGAGTTTTCTTCAAGCTCAACTCATTAAGTATTTAAGAAATTTTAGAAGAAATTATAATAAAACAAAATTAAGATTTCATTCTTATAACAAAATAAATTTTAAAATTTTTAATTGTGCCAATTTAAATTCTAATTTTTGATTTATTTTTTAATCTAAATTATTTGTCTATTTTCGTTAAGTAAAACTGACAGAGTTTAATGACTAATATATCATTTTACTTAACGAAAATTGCAGATGATTTAGATAAAAAAAATTAAAAGATTTGATTTTAATTTGACAAAATTAAAAACTCAAGGTATATTTTGTTATAAAAGTTAAACTTTTGAATTTTTTTTATAATTTCACTGATATTTTATTTTTAACTTGGCTAGAATAAACTCAATTAAATAAAGGGTATTTGCACACAAGTTCTAATTTATGAACTTATACTTTATTAAGTCCTAATTAAGATTTTTTTGACCTTCAAGTCCTATTAAACTTTTTAATAGTCAGAATTACTTTTCAAACAATGATTGTTTATCATTTATAATTATCTATAAAGGAACATAATGATTTGACATTTATTTTATTTTTAAAACTTTAAAAATCAACTTTCAAATTGAAAATTTTTTTAAAAAAAAAAAAATTATGTGCAAAAAAAATTGAATTATTATTATTTTTTTTTTATGTGTAAAAAAAAACAACTATTTTTTTTTTTTTTGCAAAACTAAAAATTTTATGTTTATAAAGGAGCATGATGATGAAACATTGATGTGCAAAAATGAAAAGAAAAAAAATAAAAATGAAAAAAAACTGATAATATTTTCAGTTTTAAAATTGAAAAAAAAAATTGATAATATTCTGTGTTTTATTGGATAATTGAATCAAACCAATAAGTAGAAAGACAAAAACATTTAATCTCATATTCTGTTTGTTTTTTTATCAATTAGTGAAATAATTATCAGGAACATTACTATAGAAAATTGATAATGTTCTTAATTTAAAAAATTGGAGAAAACTGATAATATTCTCAGGTTTACTAAATAGGACTTATTGATTCAATTTTTTTTTATAGGACCTAAATTATCGCAACATTTGTAAATAGAACTTTTAAGTAATTCACTTATTATATAAATAAGTCGAGCTCTAGTTTGAAAATAAAAAAATAAATCTAAATTAATGTGCATATTTGACTAAACAAAGCAAACTATAAAAGAATGCTTATATTATTAATAAATTCTGCTCCTTTTATATTTGATCATTTTTTTCATTTTGACTTTTCATGTTTTAAGTTTTTAGTTTTTTTTTTTTTTCAATTTACTCCTAAAGTTCATTTATATTCAAAATTAAACAAAAAATACTACATTAACAGCTATGTGGTATAAAAATATCTTATTACATATAACTCGTATATTTGACACAAATCTAAATCATAATATAATAATATATTTTTTATATTACGTGACAGTTAAAGTGATATTTTTTTGTCTGATTATGAATATAAATTAATTTTAAAAATAAATAGACAAAAACTTAAAACCTAACATCAGTGGGCCCACAGAATCTTTTGGCCCACCACTTAAAGCCCAATTCACGGTTCAAGTACTATAGCCCAACACCATTGAGAACCCAACGTTGCACCAGAAATTAATGGCATCTAAACACTTGTCAAAAAAGGAACCAACCACGTAAGCAGACAAAAATCCTGCAGAGTTATTGCACCACACATCAGCTATTAATGAGGCTCCTGCAACATTGCGATAACCCCTTCATGTCGAAACAGGCAGCCTCACCATGAACAATGCAAGCTAGAGTATAGACTTTCGACCAATACGACAAGTCGGAGTGGAGAAGGAAATGATTGACAAAGGATATAAGGAGGTTTCATAGACACATCAAAGGTTAAGTTCACTATTCTTATTCTCTCTCTCTCTCTCTCTCCACACCATCAATCACCTCTCTTCTAACTTGATCGTCAGAGAGTCCACTGGAGGACTCCCGTTCGCGGTTGGATATTTTTGCAGGCACACCAACGAGCTCAGTGACTAGAAAAAGGTCTAGGAAACGTGGGTTTGCCCGACTCACCCTCTTTTAGATCAGCAACATCATCAGTGGCGCCGTCTGTGGGAACGCCACTCTGGGTAACAATTGTGCTCATTGTTGCCAGAGACCCGTTCCCGATAATTTCTCCTCACTTGCCATCGAGGTGGATGGTTACAACAAGATCCATGGCTTCCCAACACAACGTCGTCAACCCCCAAGCCGACCCTCCCAACCTATACAACTCACCTCAGTACTTCACAAAGCTCACCAATAGCATCAACTGCTTGGCCGAGCAAAACCAGGCCTTGATCAATGCTTTACTCCAGCGAAACCTCCCTATACCTCCTCTACCACCACAAGATATCCCTCCCAATCAAGAATGGACCTCAAGCCATCCTTTCCAACAAGCTCACCTCTCCAACTTAGAAGGTCTGCAAGCCTCACCTCAAGACATAAACCCGCCACCTCGAGGTTTACATCCATTAATTCAAGCACCTGTCCCTGAAGGAGACACTAGTAATATTCAGCCCTCGCTGCACTCTAGAGGGGACAATATTCCTATTTGGAATGCGAAACTCTGAGCCATGAAACTCCAGCTTCAAGGAGTCATGCAGAGCATACAGAATAAATCCTCCACAATAACTAACTCCCCGTTTGTTGCCTCCATCAGGGACAAAACCCTACCCCCCAAGTTCAAAATGCCCTCGATCAACTTCTTCGACGGCACAACGGATCCAATTGACCATTTGGAGACCTACAAGACCCTCATGATCCTCCATGCTTTTCCTGACGAGATCATGTGTCGGACTTTTCCCGTAACGCTTAAAGGATTGGCTCGACTATGGTTTAGTCAGCTACCGCTGGATTCTGTCTCTACTTTCCAACACCTAAGTGATTCCTTCCTGAGCCATTTCATTGGTGCTCAGCGCCAGCGGTGCTTAGCAACTAAACTGCTTAATATCCGACAAACGAAAATGGAGTCACTATGTAGTTTTGTTACCCGTTTCAACACCGAGGCCCTACAGGTGGCGGAAAACGACGACAAGGTCATCATCACAGCCTTCATGGCCGGCTTATGACCATCCGATTTCCTCTTCTCCCTTTCTAAAAACCCTTCGACCACCATGGCCACCCTCTTTTCTAAAGCCCAAAAATTTATGAATGCCGAAAACTCTTTGCCAGCCTGCCAAGATACTACACCTAAAAATCCAACCCCTAAGGACAAAAAAAAGGAATCCGAAACCAGATCCTCTCAATATACTGACCGACTCGCACGAGCCGACCAACCGACCCCTACCCAACTGCCCGGCCGGTTCGAGCGATAGACCCCCCTCAATTCCCCCATGGAACAAGTCTTGAACCAGATCCAACGAGATTATAACCTGAAATGGCCCCAACCATCACGGTCTCGCTCCAACCAGCGAGATCAATCCAAGTACTGCCGTTTCCATCAGGACCAGAGAAATGTGTTAGCCTTAAAGACCAGGTAGAGGATTTGATATGCTAAGGTGCCTCAGTCGGTTCACGACAGCGCATTCCCAGCAACGACCAAAGACCGACCTGCTTGGGGACCACCGTCGACATACCCCCTAGACAACTCGCACAACCTAAGCGAGACAATGATCGACCCCCACTACAACCTCGAGCATAAGGCAATCGTGCCCCCCGGTCGGAGAGATCAGAGTCATCGCTGGCAGGCTCGCTTGCGGAGATCCATCTCGTTCGACCCAGCGAGTCGAACTCAGAAAAATCAAACAAGGTTCCGACAAAGAAGTCATGACATTGGATTGCCCCTTCAAACACCCCAAGCAATGGTCTGAACCCATCACCTTTACGGAGGCCAACTGCACAGGCATTCATTACCCCTACAATGACCCCCTTGTCATCTCCACTCTTCTATCTAATTACAAATTCAGACGGGTGCTTGTCGACAATAGCAACTCTTCAGACATCATCTTCTTGAACGCCTATCGCCAACTCAAGGTCGGAGAGGAAAAATTGTCCCCTCTCCAAACCCCACTAGTCGGCTTCACTGGCGATCAAGTGACCTCTATAGGCTCCATCGATCTTCCCATCACCATCAGAGAATATCCACGGCAGACCACCAAGCTGCTCACTTTCCTCATCGTCGACTGTCCTTCTACTTATAACATAATCCTCGGACGCACGGCTCTCAACGCTTTCCAAGCTGTCACCTCCACATGCCATCTAGCCATGAAATTCCCGACCAACCTCGGGGTCGGCACCGTGAGGGGCGAGCAGAAAATGGCCAGAGAATGCTACGTCACCTCACTAAAAGAGGACAAGCTGAAGAAGGCTATGATCATCGAAGGTTTCAACATTAGAGACGGAGAAGAGTTAGTCAGAGGGGAACCATTGGAAGAACATGTCGAAGTGCCTATCGATCCTACCAACTCAGCCAAAACAGCCAAGATTGGCAGCCAATTATCCTCTCAGGCCAAGGCCGATCTCATAGCCCTCTTAGTCGAGCACAACGATGCCTTTGCCTGGACCCATTCAGACATGTCGGGTATCGATCCCTCTTTCATCACTCACCATCTAAGTATTGAGTTCCACTTATGACCTTTTTTGACAGAGACAGCGTATAGACAAACTACTGAAAGTGCAGTTCATCAAAAACGTGGACTACCCCAGGTGGTTATCCAATGTAGTCATGGTCTAAAAAAAC